GAAATCGTAATACTACTCAATCTACAACTACTGACTAACTCAACTATACTCGTTAAATCGTCAAATTTGTAAAAACTATTCGTAACTAGGTGTGTTTATAGAAACCTAAAGTCATTCTTTAGCTCGTGATTTTACTGAAAATGTCAGTTATAACTAATTCCAGTCATTCCCAAAACACTCAATTCACTATTTATGGCCAAAAAACACTGTGTGAAAATGAATTAAATCAAAAGAAACTATGCAAATAGGATTCGTGTGTTTATAGTTTTAGCACAAATACGACCGAATAGTGGATTGCATCGCATGTAGAATTTCAACTCACTGCGTGTGATATCGCTCAGAGTAAAACTACACTTGTATAATCAATCCCTTCATTCACGCCAGATGCCTGTAGCCCTGGATGGACTCTCAGCCAATATTGCCAAATCCATCGGAAATTCCACAATTTTCTTCACCTGAATCGCGAGGATACCGCTGATCAAGGCGCAAGCACACAACCGTGGAGGAAAGATGCTGAGAGGACTTGCCGGTTTTCAGGAAAGTGCGCCTATTCCCCGTGTGTGAAATCCCATAGTTTCGGGACATTCTCGGCATACTGATAACTCTGCCCCAGGCTTGGTCGGGATTTGATCACATTTCCTCTCAAAGCCCTGTTCGCAATAATGCACTACGTGGCCGGAATTTTTATCCCGAAAGGTAGACCGGCGCCTTTAGTCCCTCCTCTCAATCCATCCCCCTATTTTTATCTACGACGCAGCTTCACTAACACCTTAACCTAATTGTGTGACCACATGCAGAGACACCGGTCCCTTTGTCCATTATTTTTCAGTAATATAAAGCCGCGCCGAACTCCGGTTGAGACGTCTCTCTTGCTTGAAATCCGCCACTGCATCGCAGATCCGTTTTCTTTTAGTTTTCCCCTTTAAATTCTCAGAGGGTAGTAGCGAATGGTCATTAAAGTAGTGCGATGTAGCCGATTTCAGATCGCAAAATCGGGTATCTCACACTAAAAGTTGGTCACTATTTAATCCAGACATCCATATTCCAACCCCCCCCCCCCCCCCCCCCNTAAGAGCGTGTGTACAGACACACGCGTCTTAACCCTTTGATGCATGAGCTGGTCGTTGATTTCGGAGAGAAAATCTACATTGTAAGGTATTTTTTGACAATAGTCGGTTGGAATCGATTTTTGTAGTTATTTTTAAGTTAGTGGGTCAGACTTAAAATGGGTCCCAAAAATCAATTCTAGCTTTGATTCAATTAAATACTCTAGCATAGAAATAAAGCTGAAAACCATTTGTTGCTTTCATGCAACGCTATGCAATAAAGGGTTAATAATGTATCCGATAGATGGAATTTGGGTAATTTGTTTGGCGCGCTGAAAACGGTGCAAGTAGCGCGATTGCAATAAGGAGCCTCGCCGAAATAACAAAATACTCAAGATGTGACTTTTCATAGGGCATGGAACATGGATATAAAGATTATCCCATGGAGGCTACTCGGAACGATGCTTTCGCAAGTGTACAATCAGTTACAACCGCTCTAAGAATGTGGAAAGCCCTCGCGCCTTCAATTTTTTGCATATGCAACATGGACATCCCCAGAGGTGGAATAGTTGTATCCAGGCTCTGAAACCAACTTCGCCCTTTCTCGAGGCATCTTGTGCTCACGTTAATTGATCCGGCACCGAAAATGAATGCCATGTTTCAATACTATTATTTGTAAACAATCAGCGATTAAAATTTTCGTTATCAATTTTAAAAAAAAAACAATCTACCAAAAAAGATGTCACCGTTTTTTACGTGAGGACAGCGATATGAGAGCATTCGTGGAAACTTGATCCGTCCTCTTTTATCGATCAATAACTACTTAATCTCAATCATTTTGTACAATTCAAACCAGATTGGTCAGTAAATGCGCGTTATAATGAAGTGATGTTTCTTCATAATTCTAAAAAGGATCTTAATACATTGTAACTACCTAGAGCGCGTAAATGGAGAGGCTATGGACATCTTATTCTGGGTCGGCAGGTCAGTTACCCTATGTTAGACCCAAACTAAAAAGAGATAGGGCGATCAATATTACGAAAGATTGATTTTTCAGGAACAGGGCTGATAATTTCAAGATTCACCATAGCAGTCAACGATGACGGAGCAAAATAAAATTTATACACAAAAGAACAAAAAATCCAATTAAACTTTTTCAATCTTACAGAACTTTCCCTTCTCAACACTTCGGTAAAGTAAGAAGCGAGGGTGCTTGAACCCCTGTTAGCCTTTACAGCTGCAGAGGGCAACAATATGATTCATATCATAAAACAGAAGCTCTGCTTGTCCTTTTTGCGCGCAGTGTTTTTAATTGGAGCAAAACCAGTGTCACCAACTTGCAAACAATATTACATGCCATGGATTGGGAGGTAGACTATTTGTCTGGTTCAAAGCCTTAGCACCAGAATACATTTTTCTCCATCTACTAAACTGAAAAGAGATAGAATGTGCAAGAAATCTTGAATTGGCTATTGAATGGCTTTCCTTGATGGAAGTTTACTTCCAATACTGAAGGGGTTTTATCGACAGACAGGGGTCTTTTTTTCTGGCACAAAAAGTGTTAAAAAACAGTAATTTCGTCACAATATTGCAAGGGTCGAAATTGCGATATCTGTATTTCTTACAGCCAACGAAAATCCTTGGAACAATCATGTAACCCTTTTTTTAAGTACCTTAGGGACTTGTCTTGCTCTCAAAAAAACAAAAAACAAATGATCGAGATTGTATCTAAGTTGTTCGATACTAGTAGCAAGTAGCCCCAATGAAAGATAACTGGGGCCTCGGGTCCCCAACTCCCCACAACAATTTTCTGGCTACTTTTATGGTTAGTTGTCCAGGAGTCAAATCTGGATAAGATTAGGTCATAGACGTTGCTAGGTTATTTTGCTGGGCAGGGCCTAGCCCTCTCATCACCGAGCGCCTACAGGGCCTCCTCCGGAAAATGTTGGAAATTTTGAATTAACCCTGGTAAAAATTGGCAGTAGAATCTGTGTTCCAAAATACCATATACCTACAGCCGGCTGTAAGATTTCCAATAGCTTCTAAAGCCGGCAACACAATTTCTTATAGCCTTTCATAGCCGATGGCGATTAAACAACAGCCTGGCGATAAAGTGTATGCTAAACGTTACTAATTACGGATGCTAGGACTTAGTGAGTTTTTGGATTACCGCTCTCTTTCAGGGCCGCAGTATGATTTAATTTGCGAGAAAAGCTCCGTACTTTTGAAGGATGCCTGCCATTCCTAATATGTTGGATCGCCTTCAATTTCGTATGACACTGTGCAATACCTCCGGTGTGTAAAAGTTGCTTCAAGCGCCGCGGTACGCTGCGGCGCGGCGCGGCGGGCGGGCAGCCAGCGCGAAAAGCGCAATGGCGCCTACAAACCTAACAGGGGTACTTCACGCATTGCGCAATGCGTGAAGTATCCCTGTTAGGTTTGTAGGCGCCAGTGCGCCGCCGCTCCGCTTTGTGTTAGGCTCTAATATTTAATCTCGTGGAGTCAGCGTTTTTCAACTCATAACTTGGAAATGTTTGCATACTCTGTATGGATTATTCTCATTTTAATTGATGAAAAAAAAATATGTAGTAAAGGAAAATATAATGTGCGTTTTGTAAAGATTAAGGTGATTCCGTACAAACTCAAGGATTTACAAAGCACAAGAATTTCTACACAATTTCTTATAGCCTTTTATAGCCGATGGCGAAAAAGCAACAGCCAGACGATAAAGTGTAAAGCCCGGCGATAGGAACTACAGCCCGGCTGTATAATTTTGTATCGGTTCGTGTAGCCCGGCCGTAAGATTTTTTCCACTTTCTACAGCCAGCTATATGATTTTCTATCGCCCTCTTCAGTCGGCTGTAAGAACTCCTGTGGTATTTTGAAACGCAGCTCCTATCGCCAATTTTTACCAGGGAATTTAGGCGCATTTTGAGGGTTAGAAGATGCAACATTTCCATTGATTTTTGCGCATAAATTACGCTGTTTTATGTATTTTCAGCTCAAAATACTTTTGAATGATTACAAAGAGTTAGTTACACTGCGAAAAACAGTTACCGTTGACGAAGATTTTTTTTTTATTACCATGCGGCATATCTTTGGGGGGGAGGGGGTAATATTATGGATCGTATTCGATACATCAAACAGGCGCACTATCGCTGCAGTAGTATCGATATCGATTAGTTCAAAATGTAAAAATAGCCTCAAAAATCAATCGAGTAGTCTGTGGAAACCGGTTTTTGTGATTGATGTTTGATTTTGATGATTACTACGTGCCATTGAAAAGTAAACCTGTCAGGAATTTCCTCTTTTTCAGCTTTTCTAACTTAGACCCTAAAATTTGTGTTTGAGGTTATGTATATTGTTTTGAACCGTACGATACATCGAATCACTATCGAGTACGGTCCATTTTCAAGTCAAGGGAGACAAGCCCCCCTGCCCCCCCCCCCTCTATCAGTGCCCATGGAGGAGATTTTCCTTATACTTGAATCCGTGAGAGCGAAAGCACACCAACTCGGTAACTCAAAAATGCTCAATTTTCATTAAAGAGAGTCAGTTTTCAAAAAGGTCATTGAAGTTAACGCATCTGTTCCAACTTGGACCTTTAAAGTGTCCTTAAGTACGTGTCTTTCGGCACCAAAAATCTTTCTCTCGTGCTAACTACTTCAACTACTGTGCAGTTTTGGTGTGTCTTGATTGTTTTCATTTTTTCGAGTTGTTGTGTTTTCGTTCCCGCACTGATTCGCTTATCTCCGACCCCATTTCCCCGTCCGGATCTGGCCGGATAATAGAATTTGCCGGTGCGAGGCTATCTGCATAAATGTTTGTGAATTTCGGTTGGCTTTTGACTGCGAATCAGGAATACGACACGCGGGCAAGGGAAGGGCCGACCCTGGGAGCCGAGAGCTCCTTGGGGCCATAATTATGCACTTGTTTGAACAGTTGGCGGAACAGCTGCACCCTCTCCACTGGCCGTAGCCGTTGCGTCGCGTCGTCGCTCCAGTCCCGACTAATTTTCCCTCCTCAGTGTTTTTCCGAGTCGCGTTCCGATTTCCACGCCTGCGTCCGCGGTTTTTCCCCGTGACCCGCTGCGCCCTAAAGTGAAATTAATTGCGTCCCGTTCGTTCGGGATTAACACCCGATCCCTCCAATCGCCCGCTCAAAGACAAATGCGCCCGACGCGGTTGGACGTCGGTGAATTTTAAAGTTTTTGAATTGTTCCGATGGAAAAGTGATGGAAAAGAGTGTAGGGTTTCTGTGACCCGATCAACGAGAGAATTTTCATTCGACGAAGCTGTGTAATGTGAGCGTTAGCAGCCATGGAATATTGATACTGCGTTATTTTTGGATACAATTGGCAAGAACAGGAAACAGGGTAAAAATCTAAGCACTTTGGAGTTTCGCACGATACTGGGTAAAAACAAGTGGGTAAATTTTTTGAACATACCAAAGATGCTGAAAATGTAAAATTAAAAATCTTCAGTCGAATGCTCTACCCAAAAGGGGGCATAGCTCAGTGGTACAGCATTCAGCTGAAGATTTTTAATTTTACATTTTCAGCATCTTTGGTTCGTTTAAACAATTTACCTAATATTTCTATAGAGGCTAATGTGATGCCTAAACTTATGATAAAAAAAATTCCTAAATAATCACATGAGGTGGAGGTGATTGTTTTCAAGTTCACATTAGAATCAGTCGGTTCAAACTGTTCGCTTGTGCGAGAAAAACCAAATTAATGTAAGTTAAAATGCGTGAAAAATTGATGAATTCGTGAAAGAGAGTGTAAAGGTTCCGTGACCCCATGAAACAACTGACAAATTCGCGTTCGAAGAGGCTGTGTAATGTGAACGTTATCAGTCATGGAATATTGATACCCCACTATTTCTGGATGCAATTTGGCAATTACAGGAAATAAGGTATCAAAATCTCATTTAAAACATGGTGAAGAAACGAAAATTTTCCAAATTATCGATCAAGAGAGATAATAGTGGTTCCTTAGATCATAATCTGCATTCTCCATCGCGCTGTCTAAAAATTTGGTTATCGTTTTAATATACTATAGAAAGAACAGGTGAGCCTCTATTTGTGTACTTTCTCAAGATTTTTCCATATGTTAACAAGAAAATTATGACAGTATTTTACGCACTAGATCTTATTGTTTATTCCTTTATTACAATTAAAACATCTGCCAAACTTTTCGACAACGGAATGGCAATTAAAGCTTCTGATTTTCGGCGCCTCACATGATCGTTTTTCCAGTTGACAACAGAATCAGTTTGTTCAAATAGTTCACTTGCAGGAAAAACCAAAACTAATGCTAGTTAAAATGAATGAAAAGAACTACTGTGAGGCTGAGTCTTGAATGGCATTACCTACCTAGATTTTGGATAGATATACCATCCCAGAATTCGAGGAACTGGATACGGGTTCATGTAGGTCTAGTGCCTGCCCAAAATCTAGGCGATGCCATCTGATCGGACCCACCTCTTTAGGCATGAGCCCTAAACCGTTTTTCTATGTGACCACTAAGATTGCATTCAAATGCTTGAGTAGATAACATTCCACAAAATTGTCCTTCCTTTTCTTGTGCCATGAAAATTTGTTTACTTTCAATAAAAATAAATCGGCCTAAGGAAGGTACCCCTATCCCCTCCCAGCCGTGCATCACACTGAAACGAGTTAAGGTTACATTTGAGTGTATCTCTTGGTTACCGGCGAGTGTACATCTGAATGGACCACTAGACTAGGTATGGATGTGACGTAATGACGGCCAACGCGCGAAACCATATCGACGGTGAAACTACCAAACCACGTATCTCGGTTTGCGACGTCGCAGACTTCCTGTCATACTTTATTTTTTAAATGAAAAACTACTTAACGTCTAGTCTTGAAAATGTCTGTGATTTTTCCTCTTTGTGCGGAGAAAACTCTGTGAAAATTTCAAGGAATGATATTGATTTGGTCGACTTCAAAAAAATAAAATGCGAGCGTAGATTTTTAAACACCGCAAACGAGATACGTGGTTTGGTAGTTTCACCGTCGATATATGGACGCATTTATGCTAAAAGGAGCTATGTGCATAGGGTTTGCGTGGCACATAGTTCCTTTTGGCATAAATGCGTCCATATCTCCAATGCGATGTTCTAAAATTCCCGCTCCTAATTTATTTTTACAGAGAGCTGCAAGACAACTTTATAGCTTTTGATATACAAAAAATATTCTACTGATAGAGAAGAAAAATCCAAGAAGTTTTCAAGTTACGTTGACTTGTTTCCGCAGGAAAAACTCCAGTATGATGAGAAGTCTGCAACGTCGCACACGGAGATTCCTGTTTATTTGCACCTCGGCCATTGATATTATCTCTTAAATATTGTACGATGAAAACGAATCATAGGGAAAGTCTAGAAAACAACTCCTGTACAATACAAAAGTGTGGTCAGTTGACGTTAGTTAAATTGCAAAAATACAAATGACATTATTTGTATATTCTGACTTCCGTTTTATTTGTGGTAGAAATCCTTGTTGAGGATCCTTGTCTCATTCAAGAGTTTATTCTCGAACATTCCTTTATAAGAATCGTTTTCCATGTAGGATTTTGAAAAGAAAATATGAACTTTTATTGTGTCTCAAACCTCGTCTAGTGCCCCATCGACGGGAAAAGCGTTACCACTTTTTGAGCATACGAGTCAAACTTCTCTGTCTCATTTCTTCTTTGTCTCAATTCCATCTGTTGATCTAGGGGCCGATTTTCATTATTTTTGCAACTGTCGACAGGATATAGGCCCCAAAGTGTCGTTCCTTCACCAAAAAAACGTAATTACCTCTCAGTATTGCCAAAATCACATTTTCCCGTGGAAATCTTGGGCATTTCCCATTGAATTTTTCTGATCTCATGCAAAAAGCAGAGAAAATTTGGGGGAAATCGCGTAGGTACATTCTTCTGAAACTTTGAATTGTTTTGGTCCATTTTGCAACCTTGGAACTAAGTTAAGTTCCTGCTTCGTCCGGGAAATGACGAAATGAGCCCGCTCTGTTTAGATTAACTCACGGAGGTCTGCGAAGCGGGCCTTATGAAAGCGCAAAGCGCCCGCTAGGTTTTGAACCGCGTAGCGGCCAGGGGACGCACCCCTAACATAGGCTATGGATTGTGAATGATGCCTGAAATCAGTTTACCTTCACCCAAAAGTCGACCTGAGCACAAGATTTCAACGATTTGTTCGTGCGTGGGTACTAAACTGTTTTTTCCGCTTTTGTCGTGGCAACATTATGTCTTCGAGAGCACTTCAACAGTGGAGCAGAGCTTTCTGAGAGCTCACTTTTCTCCCACGGGAACAGCCTGAGAAACCGGGCTCAGCTTTGAGACAATACTTACTCAAACAAGTTGCAGGAGTTGTGTGTTGTATGAGTATTGAGTGTTTGAGNCAAGAAAAAATCAAGTATGACGAGAAGGCTGCAACGTCGCAGACGGAGATACGTGGTTATTCGCACTTCGGCCATCGATATTATGTCTTAAATATTGTACGATGAAAACGAATCATAGGGAGGAAAGTCTAGAAAGCAACTCCTGAACAGGACAAAAGTGTTCACAGTTAACGTTAGTTAAATTACAAAAATACAAATGACGTTATTTTTCTCTTCTGACTTTCGTTTTATTTGTGGTAGAAATCCTTGTTGATTTCTCATTCAGGAGTTTATTTCTGAACTTTCCTTTGTAAGAATCGTTTTCCATGTAGGCTTTTGAAAAGAAAATATGGACTTTTTTTGTGTCTCGAACCTTGTCTAGTGCCCCATCGACGGGAAAAGCGTTACCATTTTTTGAACATACGAGTCAAACTTCTTCTGTCTCATTTATTATTGCCATAGTTCGTTCTGGTGATTTAGCGGGCCGATTTCCATTATTTTTGCAACTGTCGACAGGAGATAGGCCCTAAAGTGTCGTTCCGTCGCCAAAAAAAGTAATAACCTCTCGGTATTGCCAAAATTACAAAATTATATTTTCCCGTGGAAATCTTGGGCATTTCCCACTGAATTTTTTTGATCTCATGCAAAAGTCAGAGTAAATTTGGGGGGAAAATCGCGCCGGGCGCACCGGGGCGAAAATATTCTTGTGAAAATTTGAATTCTTTTGGTCCATTTTGCAACCTTGGAACTAATAAGTTAAGTTCCTGCTTCGTCCGGGAAATGACGAAATGAGCCCGCTCTGTTTAGATTAACTCACGGAGGTCTGCGAAGCGGGCCTTATGAAAGCGCAAAGCGCCCGCTAGGTTTTGAACCGCGTAGCGGCCAGGGGACGCACCCCTAACATAGGCTATGGATTGTGAATGATGCCTGAAATCAGTTTACCTTCACCCAAAAGTCGACCTGAGCACAAGATTTCAACGATTTGTTCGTGCGTGGGTACTAAACTGTTTTTTCCGCTTTTGTCGTGGCAACATTATGTCTTCGAGAGCACTTCAACAGTGGAGCAGAGCTTTCTGAGAGCTCACTTTTCTCCCACGGGAACAGCCTGAGAAACCGGGCTCAGCTTTGAGACAATACTTACTCAAACAAGTTGCAGGAGTTGTGTGTTGTATGAGTATTGAGTGTTTGAGCACGTTGAAGGTCGTCACTTGGACGAACTTTAAGTTTTAAACTTCTGGCGAGACTCATTTAGTGACGCCAGCTGGAATTCAGTGGCGAAATTCACGATTGCTAAGTTTAAGCTGAGGGCTGATTATTGAATTTGATAGACAAAGAAGACGTTGGGAGTATTAAGCGATCCTATTGGTTGAAACGCGGGTGGTTGTTATAGACTAAGAGGGGAAAATGATGAACTTACTGTAGGGTCTCTCGTGGATCACCGTTACTTAGTCTATTACTTACCTCATTTGTCCATTGCAATCACCCACTTTCACCAGTACGATCGCTTTATTTCCCTTTCGTCTTCTTTGTCTATCGCTTTGTCTACCAATATCAATGATCGGCCCGCTGTTTGCGAATGGAAAAATAAGACTTCGAAATTTGCTCTAAAAGAGCCTGTCAAAAAATGGCCTTTTCACGCCCTTTTTGGGGGAAATTCGGGAATTTTTTTTTCAAACGTGGCCTAAAAGAACTTTTATGTTAAAATAATCCTCCGGTGAAAGTTTCAGCTTTTCAAAGCTCTTTTGGCAACATGAATGCAAAGTGGACATTTTTACCATTTGAAAATGCTAATATTTTGAAATTTCTTGGTTGAAAAAAATGACTTGAGCTGATATTTTTGTATTATCTGAGGCACAATATCATCACTTGATGTTACTCTGAGGGAATGCATGAAAGTTCGGTTCCTGGATACCATTTCCTATTAGACTTTCCTGTTTCAAACATCATCCGACCTGAAATTATCGAGGAAAAGGC